GCAAAAGCCCAAGTCATGGTCTTGGGCCGTGTTACTGGACATAGACAAATGTTCCCACGGGGTGTGAAAACAAAGGTTATTGGGGAGTTTCCCATACCATCGACAAAGAGGCTAGTACTACCATTCCTGGGACTGGGTGGCTTTTACCTGAAGGTTGTACCATATTTTAGCAGTGTGGTTGCTCCACTGACTGACTTGTTAAAGAAGGGCAGGAAATTTCAGTGGACAGTGGAGTATTGGAAAGCATTTGACAGCCTGAAAGTCGTGTTAACCACTGCCCTCGTGTTAAGCCATACCATTCAACGTGGCTATCAAGACGAGTGATGAGGGTGGCAGTGCCGTACTCTTGCAAGAAGACGATGAGAAGATAAAAAGACCCGTTGGGTATTTTTCCTGAAAACTGAATAGTCATCAACAGAAATATTCCACAATTGAGAAGGAGATCTTGAGCTTGGTGTTGGCCTTATAACATTTCAACATTTATGTTGCTAGTAATGTACCTGAGACATTTGTATAAACTGATCATAACCCATTAACATTTTTGGAAAAATTTAAGGATTAAAAATTCTCTGTTTAGATGGAGCTTATTATTGCAGCCATTCAATTTGAAAATTATACATATGGCAGGATGAGAGAATGTAATTGCTGACATTTTGTCGCAACTTTGATAAAGGAGAATGGAGGTGTTCGGTAGCGGGAAAAAATGGAATGAAATAGAATGTAGTAGTCAATGTTTTCATACTTAGATTCAATGTAATGTATTTGTATTGTTGTGTACGAGTAGAGTAAGACTAAAGGCTTTAAAAATGAAGCCATCTTTGTATATTCATGGTTCTTGTTTTTAGTGGGGAACAATACTGTGGCTTTAAGAGGTGTATTTTGTCTTAGTTTTTCATATGAAAAAAAGATTGAGACAGAGGTTATGATCGGTCTGCTCAAAGCCAATAAAGTAAACAGCTTGTGAGGCTTTGAGGTTTTCTTATAAAGTTGGAACAAGAGAAGCCCGAATGGGTGGGGTCAAGCTCCCACAGAACCAGGAGTTTTAGTTTTAGCTTTCAACAGTTGCTGAGATCTTGAAGCTGGATGTGAAAGCTCTTATTCCGCTCTCTGTTATAGCTAAAAGCTGGGGTTCTCTTCCTGCTGCTAGAATTGCATGTGACACAATCTATTTTACTGAATTTGCCTTTGCCAAAGGTATGTTTATGGAATGTTACTATATTGAAACAATTAATTAATATGGCTAATTATCTATTATTTTGTTAAGCATTTCAATAGCATTACAGTTAAGCCAGTTGTTTTATTTTTATTCTGTCTGCATTTTAACAGTCGTGTAAAAATAAGGTACATTTTACTTAAAGTCGACCAATTGTATTGCATCTGGAACACAATGCCTTACTTTTAAAATTACCTTTAAAATAAGAAAAAGTTAGGGTCTGGGCTATCTTCTTAATATATTTTGAGGAGGTGTGGTCTGGTCCATAGCAAGTATAGTAAGGTCTTTCAGAGTGTCACATACCTTATTGACGGAAACTGACGCAGTTCGCATTATTAAGGACAACTATGAGCTTTTATGTAACATACTTGAATAAATTTTACAAACAAAGTATAGCTTTTGGAAAAGAATTTTTGTTCAGAAATACCAATGTGAATTTTCTCTTTAGCTTTCACTCCTCTCCTTTTGGAGACTTTTGTGGTTAGTTTTCCTCCCTCCACACACCCTGTGGTGGTTCATGGCTTGTAGACCCTGAACTTGCGTTCTGAACTGTGTTTCCAGATTCAGCAAATGAAAAGGTGCTTTGTGAAAGCTGAATGGAAATCACAGCTTATATTTTGGCTGTAATGCGGGCTTCATTGATGAGAAGGAATTTAAACGCAGTTTATGTCATTTAAATAAATGAGTGTTTTTCTCAGCAGTGTGAAGAATGTAATATACACTAGACTGAATAGAACTTTATTTTTTGCCTCAGGGCCTGCTCACGGTGGATACAAGGGAGTTGACATGGTGGGTAGAAAGGCAAAGGGTGGGTATCATGGGTTAGCACAAAGTTGGTATAGGATCAAAAATGACTTGAGTTTTAGGTATAGGACCATAGATTAGCATAGTGGCTATGAAGGTGGTGAGCAAAGGGACATGGAGTGGCATAGAGGGTATGAAAGGCTTGGGTTGGCAGGGAAGGGGAAACGGGATTGTATGGGTGGTGGTGAGGAGTCAGAGGAAGTTGTGTGGGCTAAGGGCTGGAGAGGTGTCTTCAGTTTATTTCTATTTTTGTTACAATGGAGTAGAGTGCCAGGTCAGCAAGGCAGAGTGTCTGTGGCTTGCAAACTATGCTCTTGCTTCGGGGTTGCCTGTCCCACCTCTCAAGGGGCCACACCATCCTGGAGCAAAGAACTGACATTCCGGACTACTTTCTCCTCGATCGGGTTTGCTCACCCGGGAAAGTGTCCATTCTCTGTGCCCCTGACCAAACCCTATGGGCTACAATTTTGTTTTCTGCCTGCGGATCGCATCTTCCAAGATTTTAGTCCACTTGGCTCAGTAGGAGTCAGAATTTATAGTAAGGTGTTGGAATGAAGCTAAATGCAGTGCACAGAAGTGGGGTGAGAAGCTATTACAAGAGGCATGGTGACCAGGAGCATAGGGACATAGGAAACAGTAGGCCATTCAGCCCATCAAGCTTGTTCCAGTATTCAATTAGATCACACTGACCTTCTACTTCAATTGCATTGACTCACACTCTCTCTTAGTGTCTTTATTATCTAAAAATACATCAGTGTCTGTCCTGAATATGCACAGTGACTGAGCCTCCATAATCGTCTGAGGTACAGAATTCCAAGTTTTGACACCCTATGAGTAAAATTTTGTTCTTATCTCACAGCCTAAATAGCCTTCTCCTGCTGAGACTTGTTCTCCCTGGTCCTAGATTGCACACAACTCTAGGTGTAGTCTCACCGAGGATCTATACAATTGCTCCGAGGCATTTTCACTCCTGGACACAAAATCTTCCTGCGATAAAGGCCAACATGCCATTTGCCTTCCTAATTGGTTGCTGTACCTCCACATTAAGTCTCAGTGTCTCACAAACAAACCAGATCAGAAAGATTAGGAATCTCAATTAAACGAGAGATTTGAATCCAAATATTGAGCAAAGACCCATCAGCCAACTTAAAAATGCCATTTCTCAAGTGTAGCCTGCTGTCCATCAGAGAATTACTTCCCTTTTCATTGGCTTCACAGCAGCCTATCTGTTCTGTTCAGTGTCTGATCACCTCCATCTATATCTGCGGCTATAGTTGCAAACTCTATTCCATTCTGATCATTTGATCCAGTTGCCTTTTAAAGTTAATCATCTCAGCTTCAGGTCTTCACTGGGATTTTTCCCACATACTGAACACTGTTGGGGAATGAAAAGTTTCTTCTGACTTCGAGTTTCACTTGAGTGATGCTAATTTTAAACGCGACCTTGAGTTTTTTCAAGTTTACTGAGTAATTCAATTCGTTATTTAATTCAATGCATCTGTTAAATGCAGTAACTTCATATTATTAAACACAGTCAGTAGGTTATTAATTAATAAATGTAATTTTAAATGAATTAATTACGCTGAAATAAAAATGAAGATTTTAAAACGAAGCTTTGCTTTTCTTTAGGATGCCATGAAATTTAAATATTCACAGTTTCCAGGATATACAATGAAATATCACTGAGTCTTAGAGGAATCTAATCAACTTGCTTCGAAGAAAAAAGAACATTTGCTACTTGAAGTAGAATCTGAATTTTAGTTAGGGCTGTTCTGCGCTCTGCCTTAACAAAGTCAATAATGGATTGAATTGTTGGGGAAGTGCCATAAAAGCCAGGCTGACAGGAAATACAGCAAGGAAGCTTGTGCTGATTCTCACACTGTGGTCACACACTGTTAAAATGTCCCTCGTCCACTGACAGAACTCTCCAACATTACCTATAGGCACACCCCACTGCATAGTTTCTTTTACTATACATGTCAGGTATAGCTCATTTTGAGACCTTGTGCAGTATTGGTGGGCCGAATGGCCTCCTCTGCTCTCTGACACCTCCGTGATTTAGAAGCTCCACTATGAGGAATGGGCTCCATTCTGTAACATTAAGGCACCCATTTTCAGATCCATATTTGGGAGAACTAGGCGGGGAACAGAGACCACTGGGCTTTCCCATGAAGATGGACACTGGGGTTTCAAGGGGCACAAGGGTGATGAGAAATTCCACCCACTCAATACATGGCAAGACTAGTTGGAAACCTTCTCCAAATTGAACTAATTTCTGCAGGTCCCTCCTCTGTAGGGCACAGCAATTTGGATGCCTGAACAAACCAGAATCCAGATCGAGTCATACAGCATGGAAACAAACCCTTCAGTTCAACTTGTCTGCATTGACCGGACATCCCAATTTGACCTCGTCCCATTTGCCAGCATTTGTCCCATATCCCTCTAAACCCTTCCTATTGATATATCCATTCAAATGCCTTTTATATGCTGTACTTGTACCGGCCTCCAACACTTCCTCTGGCAGCTCATTCCATTCACGTACCACCCTCTGCGTGGAAAGTTACCCTTCAGTTCCTTTTTAGATCCTTCCCTTCTTAGATCCTGGTCAAAGCAGTCCAAATGGACCTCTCCATGGTGCGTTTAAGAAGCATTGGTAGCTGCTGAAAATATTTAAATTAGACGTCACTGGGAAAACCAGAGTTTGAAGGGACAGAAGTCAAACTCAGGGCTGTAGCAGGATAATCACTCCAGTTCCTTAATGTCATTGGAATGGGTTCTGTGTTCTTTGAGACTCTTTCAAATTAATAATGGATTGTCTCACTCTGGTCAAGCCTGAGTGGATTTCTCGGATGTCGGCCCTTATAAAACTCCATCTTGTGGTAAAAGTCTAAAGCTGCATCTCGCATTGAAGCCTCAAACTCAAATAAGGACATACACAGCCACAGGTAGATCAATAATCACTGCATGCTTTTCATATTCTTACCATTTTGAACATCCAGGACGTGGTGTATATTCAGTGACCAGCCACCCATATTTGAAGAGTCTAATTCATAGCCCTGCAAAACAGCCGTTCTCTTCTCCCAGAGGATGAGATCCAGACAGGACTCGTATTCATAACCAACAGAAACTGGACAGGAAGAAAACCATCATTAGTTGTCTTGCGAGGAAGAACATTTCTTTCACACAAAATGGAGAGGAAATTCATAACGCTCACCTCCAAAAGGCTGTGGACGTTAAGTCAACTGAAATCTTCTGAACTTGGAACATGTTTTTGTTGTCGAGGAATCGCTGATCAAAGATACCGTTGAAACACAAATCAATGATGATCTAACTGAGTGGCAGAGAGGTGTGAAGGACTGAATGGCTAACTGCTGTTCTTGGAATCCAATGAGGAAAACTGACTTAAGTTTTTCTTACACGGGCAGCAGGACATTTTTTCCCCAGCAAGACAGATTTTCCTCAGCCTTTTGTCTGCCATTGTGAAGGCTCGGTTACATAGTTTATAATGATTCAAAATAACCTGCAACTCTTTGAGCAGTACTGTTAGTGTTGGATTCGACCCAAGTACATTTTCCCCCTTTTCAAAACTAAACTGTTCCTGCTTTCCACTGGGCTGTAGAAATCTGAGAGATTAGGCCTGTGTCAAGACTTTCTCCTTAGATTACGTGAGAATTTAATTAAGGTATGAAGGGTTTTCATTAGGTAAATAAATAGAAACTGTGTCCAGTGGTGGAAGGGTCAGTAACCAGATGACACAGATATAAGATAGTTGTCAAAAGAAACAGAGCTGGCCTAAGGATTTTGTTTCAATGCAGAGTTGTGATCTAGAATATGCTGCCTGAAACAATGTTGGAAGCAGATTCAATCATCACTTTCAAACAGAATTTGGATAACAGTCAAAACAAAGATTTGCCAAGCCTTGGGGATGAATTGGATCACTCCACAAAAGAAATGATATTAGAACGATGCTTGGAATAACTTCTGTGTGTACTTTAGCATTCTATGATTCTAAAAACACTGAAAGAACATCAAACTCTTTGGGACACTTTTCACTCAATGGTTCCTTCACATTGACCCAATAAGGACCCACAGATGCAGAGTGCAAGCTGAAGTGTTGAAATGATTTCTCTGCATTGGTTTTCACAAAGGAAGCCGATCATATAAAGGCTACACTTAAAGATGAGACAGAAGCTATGTTTAGGAGGGTAAATTCCTCAAAGGGTTTATTGTTGAATGTTGGGAAATCTGCTGCTTCAGATGAAATGCACGCCAGGGGGTAGCAGAAGCATTCTTCACAATCTATCAATCCTGACTGCACACTGGAGCATCACTGCAGATGTTCAAATGCTATATCACCACATAACAAAGAGCAGGATATACCAAGAAGATACAGGTCAGCTAGCCCAGTATAACTACTGAGTATGTGGATGAAAATGAGAGTCTGACCTCTCATTCAGAATGACATTGGTTAATCAAGAAAGACACGGATTTCTCTTAGTTTCAATCAACCTTTTAGGCCTTTCTAAGATCATCCTAAGGGCAGACTTGAACTTAATCCTGCTGGACCAGACGTAGGGACACTACAAAAACCGCATGGATTAGTTAAAGGCAAATCAAGCCTTGACTGATTTGATTGAATTCTCTGATCGGAAGACACAGCAGGTTGATCAAGGCAGTGCTATAGATGGTGCTAAACAAAGACTTTCAATGGGGAAGTGCTGCATAGGAGGCTTCAGGAAAGCCTGGAAGCCCATGAAATTAAAGGAAAAGTGTTGGCCTGGATACAATTAGCTTTGTGCCAGTAAACAAGTGGTGGTACACAAGAATAGTTTGCGGATTGGGTAGTGTTCCAGTGGAGCACTTCAACAGTGTAGCCTGTATGCCCTAACTTTCAATGTTTAGAAAATACCTAGGCTCGGGATAGGGTTTAAGCAGACACTTGCTGTGTCTAGTCGTGCTAAAGCGGCAGCAAACACACACAAACTATCAGAGAAAGTTAGGTGTTCTTACACCGTATAAAGCTGGAGCTTGTGTTTGTCTATGGAATCTCAATGTATTCTTGGGCTCTAGAGTCTAAAATCACTTAATTTGAAAAGGCTTCCTCCATTTAAAATTATAAAGATTTCCTCAGAGATCATGTGCACTCAATTCTTCTAGTTCATGCCATTAATTAACATGAATGATAAAAAACAACCTTTTTACTTAGATTGAGGTATTGCTGCAGGGATTTGGGGACTCTGACAAAAAATGTCTAGTCTGGTGTCCCATGATTGAGCTGAGTGGAACTCAGTACAAACCAGTTTGTGCTGACTTTCTTTCTTTATTCTTTCATTGTGATGTGGGCATTTTTGTCAAGGCCAGCATTTGTTGCCCATCCCTAAATGCCCTTGGGCTAAATGGTCTGCTGCCCCATCAGAGGGCAGTTCAGAGTCAACCACATGGCTGTGGGTCTGTAGGCATATGTAGGCCAGATAAGGTAAGGTCAGCAGATTTCCTTTCCTTAAAGAAAACTTGTGAACTAGATGGGTTTATATCAACAACTGATGATAGTTGCCATGATTAGCATTACAGAGTCGAGCTTCAATATTCTGGATGAACAGAATTTAAATTCCACCAGCTACTGTGGTGGGATTTGAACTCAAGACCCCAGTGCATGGGTGTCTGGGTGACTATTCCAGTAACATTACCATCTCCCATTCTGCACTATAAGTAGTCCTGACACTGCTAGTGACTGAGAGTGAGCTGCAGTTATAATGCTATGTCCAGTACAAGATGCCTTGTAGACAGCATGACAGAGATTCACCAAGATCACATCAGTGGTTGAAAGTCTTTGATGATGTGGAGAGAGTAGAAAAAATTGAGAGGGGCTCATTTCATTAGTGAAGGCTAAGAGGAGATCTGATTGAAGTTTTCAAAATTACAAGACGCTTTGGTGAAATGAAGAGGAAAGCATTGGTCAGTGAGTCAGTAACAAGAAGGTATAAAATTAAGATCATTATGAAAGGAGCAATGGAAATGGTTGAGAGAATTTCAAAACCATGTGTTGCGAGCCGATGGAACACCACAGAATTGATGCCAGCTTTTGAAGGAGATAAACACGGAAGGCAATGGCCCAGTGGTCATAGTTCATAGAATCCCCACAGTGTGGAAACAGGCCATTAGGCCCAACAAGTCCACATCAACCCTCTGAACAGCATTCCCACCCAGATCCATTCCCCTCCCCTATATTTCCCAGGGCTAACACACCTAACCGACACATCCCTTGTCACTACAGGGCAATTTAGCATGGTCAGTCCGGCACTATGTTAATCCAGTTAATATTCTGGGGACCTGTGTTCAAATCCTGCCGCAGCAGATGGTGCAATTGGAATTCAATAAATATCTGGAGTTAAGACTCTAATGATGACCATGAATGCACTGTCAATTATCAGGAAATACATATCTGGTTCAGTAATATCCTTTTAGAGAAAGAAATTGCCATCCTTACCTGGTCTGGCCTACATGTGACTCCAGACCCGCAACTCATATTCCGCTTGGGAACCCTGCAGCCCAATGGTATCAATGTGGATTTCACAAGCTTCAAAATCTCCCCTCCCCCCACCGTATCCCAAAACCAGCCCAGCTCGTCCCCACCTCCCTAACCCATCCTTCCTCCCACCTATCCCCTCCTCCCACCTCAAGCCCCACCCCCATCTCCTACCTACTAACCTCATCCTGCCCCCTTGACCTGTCCGTCCTCCCTGGACTGACCTATCTCCTCCCTACCTCCCCACCTACACTCACCTTTACTGGCTCCATCCCCCCCTCTTTGACCTGTCTGCCTCCTCTCAACCTATCTTCTCCTCTATCCATCTTCTATCCGCCTCCCTCTCTCTCCCTATTTATTTCAGAACCCCCTTCCCCTCCCCCATTTCTGAAGAAGGGTCCAGGCCTGAAATGTCAGCCTTCCTGCTCCTCTGATGCTGCTTGGCCTGCTGTGTTCATCCAGCTCTACACCTTGTTATCCCAGACCCACAGCAATTTGGTTGACTCTAAAATGCCCTCTGGGCAATTAGGGATGGGCAATAAATGCTGCCTGGTCAGCGATGCCCTCATTCCATGAATGAATTAAAAGAAATTCAGATCAAGGAGATAGTTGTTTCAGTCACAATGGACAAAATGGCCTCTTTGGGTGCTGTTTGATTTGAGTAGGCTCTTAGCTCCCCATTGTTCTGTCAGTATTCTCTCCTGAAAGATGGCATGATTGAATTGTAGGTGAGGGAAGTATTTGGAGTATAACAATAAATTCTGGGAATAATCCACAGATCCAGCATCAGAGTTCTTGTTTCAGGTCCATAACCTTTCATCATCTCTTCTAATAAAAGATTACAGACCCGAAAAGTTAACGCTGCTACTCTTTCCAGATGATGTTCCCAGCATTTTCCGTTTTTCATTTCAGATTGCCAATGAATTGCTTTTGGATAGTGTGAGAGCAGTTATCGGATTTGCTTGTGATGTTACAGCAGCTAATAATTCACCAGCAATCCGTGGCAGTGGGTTAAGGATTGCAACTTTGGTGCGGTCGTGTTGTTCAGCTGGGTCCAATGCTCATGTGATTGTGGCTTCAGATGCGGAGAAGAGACAAGCTGGAGATGTACGACAAGCAAATACACCAAGACAAGCGTCTCCGCTGAACTTACCGACCGCCTCAGACAGGCCGTAGACCTTTTGATTATAGGCGTCAGTTTTGTCCCATATGAAGGTGTACGACAGATTAGGTGACGCTGGGAACCACTTCTGGAACAGTCGGCCCACCACAGCCACCATCAGGTGAACCTTCATCAAATTGAATGGCACTGTGTTCTGGGTCATTGTGATTTTCAGAACTGGCTTATAGCCAGCAGCACGTGAGCTGAGGTAGATTAGCTTCAGCTCGGTGCCAGGAATCTCTGTTTCTTCATGAAGCACCTGAAGGATAGATCAGAACGTGAGACAGAGACATCATTCGGAGATAGAGTGAAGATTAGTTAGAGAGACAGACAGACTTTCCTTACAGCTGAAGTACAGCCAAGACAACATACACAATCACTAGAGAGATACTAAGCCCAAAACGAAAAAAAAAAGAAAACCACTTATTTCATTTCAACTGTGATTTCTCTTGGGCAGGTATTACCAACACTACATTAGACAGGACAGATGGAGCCATCAATATGGAACGGGAGAATCTGATTGAAGAATGTAATTACGTCTATACACAGTGCCACAAAGTCTATATTACCACAAACCCCAGGTGTGTGAACACAGACCTTGCAATAAAGCCAAATATGATGCTAAGGTGGTGGGTGATTTCACGTGCTGGAAAATGAATGTGTGGCATCGCAGGAGAGATAAAATTCCATGATCGCCACCATTTTGGTTAAGGCAGACAATGAGAGCAGAAGTAGAACTACCTCCCTTGTGTGGAATTGGTGAGACAAAGGAAGGACATTAACAACAGAGGTTAAAAAAAAAACAGATTGGAAGGTTACAAAATTTTTGACAGACGAAGACCACCCTCATTCCTGGTCCATGATGAATTAGCTGTTTTACCTGGACAGATTAAGACTGTAAGAAGCAGGAATAGGAATAGGCCATTCAGCCCCCTTGAGTCTGTTCCACCATTCAATAGAATCATAGCTAATCCCACATTCCTCACATCTACTTGTTTCGACTTGTTTGGTGAGTCCAAAAGTAAGAAATATAAACACAAAAAATTAAATCCAATCTGTAATTGAGGGTGAATTGTACTTACTTGCCTTGAGGAAATGTAGAACTCTGTATCTTAAGGTGAATCACTGAAACCTTTTTAAGGGAAAGCCAGAAATGCAGGAGAAAGGTAGAGAAGAATATGATAATTGAGTGAAATAGGTGGGAGGAGACCAGTGGACAGCACAAATACTGTCACACAGCATTCGGACTGAATGGCATGTAGCACAATTCAATCTAAATAGTTGTTTGGTTGTACAGAACCAATTTAAGACCATTAGCCAGACTCTCAGTCTAGCATTTACATGTGCTAGAAGCTACACATATCAAAATTCTTGATCCTATTTTATGTAGGAGAAAGGGATTTGTTCACAGATTGCACTTCTAACATTAAAAAAAGGGGATCACGGAGACAGCCCATCTGGGCCGCACCTCCCAAACGGCACACTGACAAACTGATTAATATTGACAGTTAACTGTTCTTACTGCACCTTCCATGCCAATCTCCTGTCATGCTGTGTAAAATGGTGGCCCTTCTTGTAAGTCTGCTTCTTGTGTCCGAGTTCTGACAGCGGCAAGAATGAGAAGCTTAAACTTATTGTCTCTTTTTAGCAAAGTTAAAATTTGATGTGACCAATTGAGTGTGAAATTAATTTTATTCCCTTTTGTTTAACCCATGTCTGTACTGCTTGTGGTGGGGAACAGGATACAAAGGTATCCTCCTGAATGAGATGGAGGCTCAGTCTGTTTCTATCTAAAGCACAGACTGACAATTAGCAATGATGTGAAGGGGTATCGGAATGTTGTGCAAAAAAGGCATTGAAGTGAATGATCAGCAATGATTGTACTGAATGGCAGAGCAGATTCGATGGGCTGAACAGCCTACTCCAGCTCCTTTGTTCTTAATAGTGCACTGTTGAGAGCACGAGCATGGGTTTCAATGGCTTTTCCCCACCAGTCATTTCACATACTTGTAAATCCAATGAACAATGGGCAGCTGCCGTGGGAGGACAGTGCTGGAGGCAGCTACAATAGTTCCAATGAGACACGGTGACACATGAGTGTTACCTGACATTTGAGTGAAGGGCCAGCCAAATGTTGTCATATGGGACAATGCCTTGAGGTGAGCCAATGAGAAAGAGTGTGGAGAGCTGGAACTATAGTGTGTGTGTTTGTGGGTGTGTGTATATGTGTGTGTGTGTATGTGTGTGTGCGTGTGTGTGTGTATGCATGTGTGTGTGTGTATGTGTGCGTGTGTATGTGTGTGCGTGTGCGTGTGCATGTGCGTGTACGTGTATGTGTCTGTCTGTGGCGAGGGTGCTGGTTACTGGAAAGCACGCACTCTATATTTTACTGGATTTGTGGCTCGATCTGTCGCTGTGAGTGAGAGGAAGTACCAGAAGGGTCTGTTTACCTGTGTCTCAGGAATAATGGGGCTCTCCGAAGGAGACGACCGGAAAAAGGTGGACAGTGGAGACGCAAGGATGATGGGATTTGGCCTCACAAATCCACTCAGGTCGCAACTGGGAATCTCGTTCTCTTCCTTCTTCATGACCATAGTGTCCATTACGTGAAAAACATTCCAGGGGATCCACACAGTGTGGTGCTGAGTGATGAACGGGACACGTTCGAAGCACAGAGTGAGAGACGCCCCACCGTTCGCCACCAGGTCAAACCTTGATTGAAAGAAGAGCCAGAGAAGGAAAATCAGTATCACTCAGGGCACAAATCTACGTTATTAAGCTAGACTTTCTCTTTAGCATTCCTGAGCACAACACCATCCCTGTGCCACTCAATCACATTAAAGGCATTTGCAATTGTTACCGTGGCTTCAACAAGATTACAACCAAATCGAAAAGCGGGTTTCTTTATGAGAGAATCATTTCTGGCCTGGAAGCCGGAAAATGTAATTTACACAAACTAGACATATGATTACAGGACTGATAACAACAGGGTAGGAACAAAGAAATTCAGTCTAACATAATCATTGCAGCACTGTTTAGTCTGCAAACGTACTGCTGGGTAGAGAGCCGGACAGGGGAGATCAGAAAGATTCAAGGTTCCCCTCCTGGCTCCCACTGAGCTGGGCTGCCTCAGTAGCATGGTAATCAAATAGCTATAATTGCTCTCAGCACCTGTCTGTATGTTGGCAGTAGAGGTTTGGGTTGGGGCGGGAGGGTTGGGGGTTGGGTCGAAGGGTCCAGGAAATCCGTCAAGGTTTGGAGCTACATCTAGATTCAAGTGAGTGTCTAGTGAGGCCGGTATTGTCTTCAAGCAGAGATTCTGTCTGGGTCAGCCATCTCTGCCTCAGCTCTCACACGCCCCGTGGTATTCCCATGGGCCAATGTGCAGATGGGAAAACATTGGAAATGGGGAGAATCTGGAGGGGGAGAACTGTCTCGCTCTGGGTGAAGAGTTAAAATGTTTTGTTGTTCTTCACCTCCCTCTTGAAATTAAATATCCCATAAAGATATGAACGTGAAAATTTTATAATAATTAATAATTCTTCCCCGATAAGTTATGGTACCCAATGACAAGAACCATCCTGGCTTTTCATCCATATACCTCAGAAGGGCAGTACAACAATAACTTGTATTTATATAGCACCTTGAAAGTTGTAAAATACCCCAATGGACATTACTGAACAAGAAACGGCATGCGTGTTTATAGAGACACACTGGGGGAGATAGCTTAATGCTTGGTTAAAGAGATAGATGTTCAGGAGCTTCCGAAAGACAGCAAGAAACATCAAGAGGAGTACAGCTGGCTCAGAGTCTTTGAAAGGCTGAAGAGGGTTACTAAGATAGGGAGGAACAAGGCCATGGAGGGATTTGAAAACAAAGATGAGGTTTTTTAAATGAAGATGTTGCTTAACAGGGAGCCAATGTAGGTCAGCCCACAGAAGTGATTGCCAAATGGAGCTTGGTGTGAGTTGGATGACCTCATTAACAGAGGATAGAACACAGGAGACCGGCTAGCACTGCTTTAGGAAAATCAAATATAGAACAAAGGTGTGAATGAACGTTTTCGCAGCAGGTAAATCATTACCTTCCTGTTCCCTTCTGCTACCTTTGCCTCTAGTGTGTCAATTAGCCACCTGAAGGCCTACAAGCCAAACATTCACAATAAAACCTGAGGAGCAGTCTGCAATTCACTGCCTGAGGCAGGGAAGTACATTAACATGACCTTGGAGTCTGCACCTCATGTCAGCACAGTTCTAATATAGGTACATGGGATCACAGAATGACCCTTACAATCCTAACAAGTTAAACACAATAGAACATCTTAAATTTTAAATGCATAGCACTTCACCACTTCTTTTTCATTCTTAGCTTTATCAGTTCCAAGATCCCCAGCAGTACCTCTCAGCTCAGTTACATTTGCTAATAGGGAGGGCAAAATCTTGGGAGCATCATCACTTCTGTGCTCTCTTTGAATTCACACAGCTTGGATATTTATGACAAGAGTTTTGAATGCCAGGAACACAGGAGTAGGTTCCACCTTCTTGGAACAATGAACTTAGCTCTGTGAGCTTTGTTCAACCAATTAACTCACTGGGCAACCAGGAGAAGATCTTCAGTCTGATTTTCTCCCTTCTTCGGCTGGCTACAAATGTGGTCCAATTGGATCTCTCTCTGAGCCCCCTGGGGACTGAGAACTCAGTCCCTTGCGAAGTCTGAGTGAGCACATCAGTGACTGATGTGCATGTGAACCTGAATCACTTGGAGAGTTGTGTCTGATCCTTTATCCTAATTTTTACTCCATTTCCATAAGAACAAATGAACAGGATCGGGATGAAAAGGGGGCATTGCAAATGCTGGCAATCAGAAATTAAAAGCGAAACACCTCGGCAAAATTACATTTCAGGCACAGATTCTGTCTGAATACAGGACAGTGTTCCACATGAAGCCTTAACTATTGTTTGGCCATTTAGACGTAGATGGACAGTTCACTATGAGTTCGGTAGACTGAAGCACTCTCTCTACTGATGAATGATGCAGCTAATTTGATAAAATAATTGCACTGGAAGATGATTCAAACTTTTGATGGGCAAGGCGTATTAAAATATTCCTTTGGTGGCAGAGTTCAGGAAAGGGAGACCAAATTGAAAATTGTTGTGAGACAATCTGGGGTAACATCAGGAAGAATTTTCACACACAAAAAAAATTGAAAGTCCAGAACACGGTCTCTCAAATAGCTGTTGAGGTTAGGCTAATTGAAAAGTTTACAGCAGAGATAGATTTCCTTTCCAGAAGGGGATTAAAAGATAGGAAGCAAAGCCAGGTAAATAATGTTTAGGTATTGATCAGCTACAATCAAACCACCTCTAGGGATGGAAATGGTCTGTGCCTATTGGCATGTTGTATTGCTTAGTTACTGAACATTACATCAGTGGCCCATAGGTAGACATGTTTTGATTACTGCAGGGATGAATGGTTGCAGACAGCACAGAAAAATTAAGTGTTTGTTTTAGTTGCAGGGACACAAAGCGAATGATTCAGAGGGTGGTTTCCATGCCCTCCATCAGAAGATTACCTCATCAGATCTATCAACCTACCCTTTTCTGACCAATGCTGACCGGCTGATTATCTTAAGACCAAAAGAACTGCGGATGCTGTAAGTCAGAGACAAAAATATAAATTGCTGGAAAAACTCAGCAGGTCTGGCAGCATCTGTGGCAGCATCTCAGGAAGGGTCACTCGATCCGGAACGTTAATTCTGATTTCTCTCCTCAGATGCTGCCAGACCTGCTGAGATCTTTCAGCAATTTCTGTTTTTGACTTGACTATTTTATGACATTTGTTCCTCTTTGTACCGAGGAATTTAGAGACTTGAGTTGAAACAATAAAGCACAGTTAGTGATTTGACTCAAAGCTCAGCATTCTCATAACTGGTGGAAGAGACTAAAATCCAAAATCTGTCCCCACAAATGTTGCGGCTAATATTCTTGCAGGGCTGGGGTTGGGGACTGGTTGTATTTCTTGCTTATGCGCTTCACACAGAATCCACTCGTTTTATTTTGTTGATTTATGTGTGAAAACAATATGTGTCCAGATCCTATCTGGTAGGAGCAGGCATAATCTTTGCAGAGGTGGGATACCCTTTTGGAGAGGTAAGGCGCTTCCTTGGATATGGTACTGGGCCACCATAGGCAGAGGTACCGTGTTCTTTGGGAGAAGTAAGGATCCCTCTGGGATCACTAAAAGTAGACATTAGTAAGTATAAAAGGCACATAATGACTGTCAAACTCAAAGGAACTATCAACAGAGTTGTCAAAATAAACTGAGTCAAGCATGAAGAGGGACTGTCAAACTTTAAGGTTACTGGATTTGTGCCGCATTACTGATTGCACAACCTTCCAGTATCACAGTGAGGTGCCTTCCATTTCACAGTTTCACAGCTGATTTGACAGTCCCAAGTGGTTCCAGACTCTTTGGAAGTATCAATTCCAATGTTTTTTTTAAAAATTCATTCAAGGGGTGAGGGCATCACCGGCTAGGACAGTATTATTGCCCTCCCCTAATTATCCAGAGGGCAGTTAAGAGTCAACCACATTGCTGTGGGTCTGGAGTCACAAGTAGGCCAGACCAGGCAAGGATAGCTTCCCTAAAGGACATTAGTGAATCAGATGGGTTTTTCCTGACAATCAACAATGGTTTCATGGTCCTCAATAGACTCTGAATTCCAGTTTTGTTTTAAAATTTTTATTTAATTCAAATTCCACCATTTGGCATTGCAGGATTTGAATCAGGGTCCTCAGAACATTACCTGGGTTTCTGGACTGACAGCCCAGCGATAATACTGGTGGCCATGACCTCCCTCCATTTAAGGGAGTAAGCAATTGAATGAAATATTTGTTCTTATAAGTGATTACATAGGTTAAGGAGTTTAACAAATGGGCAGTCAATGAATTAGAGCTGTTTCTAGGTTAGGCAGCAGACCACATAGACATTTATATTATTTAATCTCAGAATGGGAAAGGAGTTCTGCTATAATGGACACTGAGTGAGTTGGTACAGTAGGCATAATGGAAGATGTGTCTGGGTGTGCAGCATTGGTTGCCACAAGTTGGCACAGAGGCTATGAAGGGCCTTGGTGGTAGATGGAGAGAATGGGATGGCATGGAGGCTATGTGGGGTTGGGGCGGGTGGACATCTTAAAATTCGTTCACTAGGTGTATCAGACTAGGTGAACAATTATGCCATTGAGAAGGTGGCAGTGAGCTGACTTCTTGAATCACTACAGTTCTTAGGGTGCAGTTACACATATAGTGCAGTTAGAGTGGGAGGTCCAGCATGACTGAGTCAAGATGTAACTGATCTGGTTTCTCAGGATGTGGCCGATGAAGTGTACCTGGGCAATGGAATAACCCTCAAGGAGTATTTAAACAGAAAGCACATTGTGCTAATCTATTCAGGTTTGGTTCCTTCCTGCCACTTCAAGGGTTTGGAACAAAAGCTACATTTTATAACTATCAGCTAAAAACTCACATTCCGTCCTGCCGGGTGATGGTGTAGCCATACTGTGGATAGTGCAGAAAGGACACGTTTACTCCAATGAGGGGTGTTCCGTCCGCAGTAAGCACTTGTCCTCTGATAACGGAGCTCAGGCTGTGAGAGGTGTGTCAGGGCAAAGAAAAAGAGAAGAGGAATTAAGCATCCTTTGATAGAATCATTCCCGCACAGATTCCACTTAGAATCAAATGCTCCAGGAAAAAATAACATCAAAACAAATGTGATCAAATAACTCTGCAAAGACATTCCAAAATAATTCATCTTCATAAAACACTAATATTATTTCACATATTCTGATTTAACATGAGCATTCCCCTGACAACTTATCAAGATCAACATGATCCATGTTTTATAGTTTGAATATATACAGTTCCATTTCCCTGTGTTCTTTAATTTCATCCACGATATTTCAACGTAGCAGTTAAATAAGTAATGAATTGATTATTGAAAGTTCCAGGAAACTGCAAATGGGGTTGATGAGAGAGATTGGCCAGTCGTTATGAAATCAGAAACAGTAATTCTACAAGCTTTAATTAAATTCAGAGACTAAAGTGCATCTGGACAAACTGGATAGCTGGAGGCACTCTGCTTCTGTTGTACATCAGGAGCCAATGCTCTGCAAAGGCACCTGTTCGTTTTGTTCGCACTGAACTTCCATATCATTACAAATTCATAAAAAGCACATTAAATAATTTGTGGCCCATTACTGCACTTGGTACAGGCCTTTATTACTTTCATTACTCTGCTTCGAAATTTTTAACAGATTTTTTAAAGACATTTTTTTGTGTACAGTTCAGAAGAGGCCCTTTGGCCCATCGAGTCTGCGCTGACTACCTACACCGATCCCACTTTCTAGCGCTTGGCCCATAGCCTAGTTATGATATTTCAAATGCTTGCTCACGTACCTTTTAAAAGGCTTTGAGGTTTCCTGCCTCTCCCGGGCAATGCATTCAAGATTCTCACCACCTTCTGGAAGAAAACATTTTTCCTCTAATTCCTTCTAAACCTCCTGTTCTATACCTTAAAATCATGTCCCCTCATTATCGATCCCTTCAGTAATTAAGGGAATAGCTGCTACCTATCCACCCTGTCCATGCCCCTGACAATCGTATACACCTCAGTCTGCTTGGCCTGAAGCAAAAGAATCTACAGGAGAGCTTGTGGAGGGCACTAACAAAGGATATGCTCCCATCAGCAACATGCTGTGGATGCCAGTTCCTCACATAAGGTACTTGTGCAGCTTGCAAATCTCTGCACTAGGCACTGCTCCTGCCATTGCACTTCAATAGATGAATCTTAGGAAGCTTAATACATTTGTTTCTATTCTACCTCGTTCTTCATGAAACACATTCTATTCTCTGCAATCTGTTTTCAGGTCTCTCTCATTCTAACTAAAGGCTGTGTTCCAGGTATCTTGCATCCTTACTTTTGTTCTCACTGTTCGTCAGTAGGGAAGTGTCTGACCTCTGCGCGGCTCCTATCCTTCTGCATGGCATTTCTGTATGTCAATGCAAGTGAAAAAATAATACTCTCTCTCAAAACAGCACAGTTGTGAATAAGCCCTTGTCATCTCAATCTCCTGTGCTGTAATCACGTGTGTTCAATTTACACGTCTCTTGTAGCCAGTGTGCAGCAAGGGAAATACATGGCTCTCTCATCTCTCTCTCTAATTCCAGCTGAGAGGGAACTATGTCTAAATGTCTGCAGTCACCATGAGTTGTCTGGCCTGATCATCACATGCTAACAGCAGGTAACATAACCAGGATATATGAGTGAAGAATAACTAACTCCATTGGTGCCCACGTGAGATGCATGATCTGCAAATCACACTGAAATATCAACTCTCACAGAACAGAGGTGACACCTCATCTTTTACAAATTTATGAGATATAGATAAGTAATTCATTTCCCCCAGAGAACCTGAAAGCATACTATAAGATGCCTTAACAAAGCTAACATAATGAAACTTATAGAATACTGAATGGTCTGGACAAAGTGGATATTGGGAAGATGCTTCCATTGGTAGGAAAGACTAGGACCCGAGGGCACAGCCTTAGAGTAAAGGGAAGACCTTCTAGAACGGAGATAAGGAGAAACTTATTCAGCCAGACAGCGGTGAATCTATGGAATTCACTGCCACAGAAGGCTGTGGAGGTTAGGTCATTGAGTACATTTCAGACGGAGATAGACAGGTTCCTGATTGTCAAGGGTATCCAGGGTTATGGGGAGAAAGCAGGAGAATGGGGCTGAGAAACTTATCAGCCATGATTGAACGGCGGAGTAAACTCAATGGGCTGAATGGCCTAATTTCTGCTCCTCTGTCTTATGGTCTTAAGGTTTTATGATTTTACAGTGGATCCCAATTTGATTAACTCTAACAATTATATGGACAGTGCTGTATTTTTCCCAAATGATCTTTCATTCAATCTAGAAAGTTATTTTGAGTCATTTGTAGATCATTCAACCTACTTCAAACGTCGCAATGATCTCTATTTACTGTGGAGCTTCCCCCTTTTACATCTTGTGCATCATTTTATCTGAATGCTGCTTTTCCTAACGATCAACTTTCAGCCTTGCAGACTGATGATCGGCACTGAATAGTCTATTTTCTTCATGGCCGCTTGCTTTCAGAATTTCCTGTATTTATTTCTGCAGTTTTGTTTTAAACTGATTCCATGTTTGCCTCTATTAGCCAGTAAATAACCTCTCAGATAAATCACTAGCGTATCCTATGGTATCCTTTGCGATCAGCTGACTTGATAACGTGTGCACAGTTTGACACAAACTGAGGCAGACGGGAGAGCCAGAGTTTGGGATGCATAATCACCATCAGGTACTTTTTCCGTTTTGGATATTTCGTCAAATTCTGAGTGTAACATCTATCTTGTGGGAAGCTTGCATTCTCCCAGTGGATTCCGCTGCAATTGATTATATCTGAATCCAGGCCAAGTGGATGCTAACAGCCTGTTCAGTCTTTATGAGTTCGCCATCAGCTTTGTAACATGTTTGTTTTTCCTTTCTGCCTTATCTTTGCACAGATTTCCCCTCAGCACAGTCAAATATTTGAAAATAGATCAAATCAATGGGTTTTTTTTTGTCCACACTTACCTCGGAAACTAAATGTCATTTGTCATTACTACGAATGTGCATGCAATCAGTGAGGGGCTACAAGCTATTTAAAGATAGCATGTGCGAATACAAGTCATAACATTAAATAAAATGAATGAAATATTACCTGAATGTTATAGCTACTAATTGCTTATACTCTAAAAAATAATCAAGTGAGTACTTCTAAATTTGAGTTGGAAGGACAACTGGAGAGCTAAATTCAAAGCTATACTTGTAACCTCACTTTAGTCGATCATTAAAACCATTTGCTTTAATTTTAAGTAAATAATCATTTGTCATTGAAATCATTATCTGCACTGAGCTAACCCCAAAATTTCCAAACAGACTCACGTCAAAACAGAACAAAATGCTTTGGAAATGATTAAGAAGGAATTTCAGACTTTTGAAAGCAGACTTTGCACAGATCTGATCTGTGATAAATTTACCTATGTTTTTGTTGCCATGTTTACCTAGCTACCAAACACGACGGCATTGTAAAACAATCCACTGGCTGTGGGAAAACTTCTGAGACGTCCTGAGAAGGTCCAGTCACTTATACAAATGCAATTGGTTTTTCAGATTACTCTGGCTGCACCTTTGTCAGGTGTAATCTGCAGACAGCTTTCTCTCAATGTTTTGGTGCAAGAATAGCCAACCTTTCAGAGGAGTGGTCAGATCTGGGTGTCACGGTCGCTCAGTGGTTAACATTGCTGCCTCACAGCACCAGGGAACTGGGTTCGATTCCACCCCTTTGTGGAGTTTGCACGTTTGCCCCATATCTGTGTGGGCAATGTCGGGTTACAGGGATCCGGTGGGTCTGGGTGGGATGCTGTTTGAAGTGTTGGTGTGGACTTGATGGGCTGAATGGCCTGCTTCCATGCAGTAGGGATTCTATCTATATGACAAAGCCATTGGGTGGGTCACACACAATTAAAACATTTTGTGTCCAGAGAGAACAAAAGTAAACAGCCTGGCTAATGTAAGAGCTTTTACTTCAATGTGATATTATCATGCCAAAATAAGAACATGAGAAACAGTAGCTCAAGTGGGCTGTGACGTGCCCTGAACTTCTATGACATCAGTCCTTCTTTTCTGCATGATCCACATATCCCTTAATTCTCTTAGCATCCAACAAGCTATTCATAATCTTCAATGTATTTGACATCTGCAAATTTGAAGCCGTTACAATTAAAATGTGATTTTTTTTTCCCAAGTACTAAAATCCCAACTCTCCAAGCTAAAATTCCATTTCTCTCATATCCCCACTACATACATCAAAACTTGACCAATCTCCTACATTGTGCTTCTTTAGAGAACCAATAAGCCTATTCAGCTCATCCAACGTGTACTAGCAATTTTAAAGAGCGATTCAATTAGTCCTGCACTGCTGCTCTTCCCCATAGCCCTGTGATTTAAGTTTATTTCCAGTACTTTTACAATTCCATTCCAAACCTCAGGTCATCTCATAATGTTCTGCAGCAGGTGGAGGGTCCCCATTTAGGATCAGCAACATCATAGAAACAACAATGGGGCAAGTAACATATCTTTCAGTTGGAGCAACTGATTTATCACCAACTTCAGCCTTCCATTCTAGCTGTCACATTGTTCTGCCCGTTTCCTGCTTCAGCTCCCAGATTTGGAGCATTTCACTTTATCTTAGCTACGATAACCTCTTGAGCACTCTGAATATTGTACCACAGTATTTTGCATGCACAAAGACAGGACATCAACTTACTGTCCTGTCTGAAAGACAGTATCTCTTAATTTCTTTTACACTACCCTGTACACTCTTAAAGTGACAGCCGGCATTATAGGTGTTCTGGATCTGGAATGGGTATTGAATCCACAACTATCTGATTCTCAAACAAGACTAAGAGCCTTGATATGGGAGTCAGGGGTGCTTTTAGAGCATAAAGAATGAATTCAAATCACACTTGAGGAATAAAACAAATAGCGTGGACAAACTTTATTAAGGCACTTCAACAAAATAGACAACATGGCACCTCACATGTGACTGGATTTATCAGAGCCCATTTCCGCACTAACAGACTAACCTCCTGTTGAAAGGGTTTTCCCCAGGCAGGACATGACTGCTGTCGGGTCCAATAAGAAACTTAATTCGATCATGGAAAGACCTGGCAGCTTGTTGCGAGGGGGGCTGCTGGCTTTGACCAATGATGTCCAGTGGATCAGGTGAGCCCCGGCAATAGGGCTGGTTCTGGCAGGAGCTGTGCAAGCAGCAGTCTGGATCCATACAGTCAATCAGACCATCTGCAGAATGGAAAAGCAGTCAAGTAAAAAATATGTTCTTGTCATTCTTCAACTACCTCTGAAGAATGTGAACTGCCGACTTGCTGTCTTAATTGAAATCCAAAAACAACAGTGCAGGCAGCAAGCGACAGTTATATAAATATCCATTTATAGACAGCATGGTAGCATATGCACATTTAACAGTTCACAAGGAATTTTGTCTGCTACTTAAACCCACTTTGTTTTAACGCCTTGGTTGAAAGAATGGAAAAGGGATATCACTGCTGACACCGATGTTTGCAAAGTGTAATTTGAAGGCTGCATTTGTAAAAGTCCTGACTAGGGGTTTTGTACAGGGAGCAGGCTTATCATTAATATTGCTGTGGGATGTAGTCAAATGCACAGCAGAACATGGAGCCCTCCTGAAACATTAATGTGTCTTTTGCTCTCAGTTACTGATCAACGTAGGCTTGATGCATTCCTATAGCCAGCGGAGGTGGAGGGGGGTGGGGGCAGTTGGCGGTGGGTAGCATAGACTCATAGAACATAGAACATAGAACATTACAGCGCAGTACAGGCCCTTCGGCCCTCGATGTTGCGCCGACCTGTGAAACCAATCTGAAGCCCATCTAACCTAAACTATTCCGTTATCATCCATATGTTTATCCAATGACCATTTAAATGCCCTTAAAGTGGGCGAGTCTACTATTTTTGCAGGCAGGGCATTCCACGCCCTTACTACTCTCTGAGTAAAGAACCTACCTCTGACATCTGTCCTATATCTATCACCCCTCAATTTAAAGCTATGTCCCCTCGTGCTAGCCATCACCATCCGAGGAAAAAGGCTCCCACTGTCCACCCTATCGAATCGTCTCATCATCTTGTATGTCTCTATCAAGTCACCTCTTAACCTTCTTCTCTCTAACGAAAACAGCCTCAAAACCCTCAGCCTTTCCCCATAAGACCTTCCCTCCATACCAGGCAACATCCTGGTAAATCTCCTCTGCACCCTTTCCAATGCTTCCACATCCTTCCTATAATGCGGTGACCAGAACTGTACGCAATACTCCAAGTGTGGCCGCACCAGAGTTTTGTACAGCTGCAAAATGACCTCATGGCTCCGAAACTCAATCCCTCTACCAATAAAACCTAACATACTGTACGCCTTCTTAACAACGCTATCAACCTGGGTGGCAACTTTCAGTGATCTATGCACATGGACACCGAGATCTTTCTGCTCATCCACACTACCAAGAATCTTACCATTAGCCCAGTACTCTGTATTCCTGTTACTCCTTCCAAAGTGAATCACCTCACACTTTTCCGCATTAAACTCCATTTGCCACCTCTCAGCCCAGCTCTGCAGCTTATCCATGTCCCTCTGTAACCTGCAACATCCTTCCGCACTATCCACAACTACACCAACTTTGGTGTCATCCGCAAATTTACTAACCCATCCTTGTACGCCCTCATCCAGGTCATTTATAAAAATGACAAACAGCAGTGGCCCCAAAACAGATCCTTGAGGTACACCACGAGTAACTGAACTCCAGGATGAACATTTCCCATCAGCCACCACCCTCTGTCTTCTTACAGCTAGCCAATTTCTGATCCAAACCGCTAAATCACCCTCAATCCCATGCCTCCGTATTTTCTGCAATAGCCTACCATGGGGAACCTTATCAAATGCTGTACTGAAATCCATATACACCACATCAACCGCTTTACCCTCATCCACCTGTTTGGTCACCTTCTCGAAGAACTCAATAAGGTTTGTGAGGCACGACCTATCCTTCACAAAACCGTGTTGACTATCCCTAATCAAATTATTCCTTTCTAGATGATTATAAATCCTATCTCTTATAATCCTTTCCAACACTTTACCCACAACCGAAGTGAGGCTCACGGTCTATAATTACCAGGGTTGTCTCTACTCCCCTTCTTGAACAAGGGGACAACATTTGCTAGTCTCCAGTCTTCTGGCACTATTCCTGAAGACAATGACGACATAAAGATCAAAGCCAAAGGCTCTGCAATCTACTCTCTAGCTTCCCAGAGAATCCTAGGATAAATCCCATCCGGCCCAGGGGACTTATCTATTTTCACACCTTCCAGAATTGCTAACACCTCCTCCTTATGAACCTCAATCCCGTCCAGTCTAATAGACTGTATCTCAGTATTCTCCTCGACTACATTGTCTTTTTCCTGTGTGAATACTGACGAAAAATATTCATTTAGCACCTCTCCTATCTCTTCGGACTCCACGCACAACTTCCCACTACTGTCCTTGACCGGCCCCAATCTTACTCTAGTCATTCTTTTATTCCTGACATACCTATAGAAAGCTTTAGGGTTTTCCTTGATCCTACCTGCTAAAGACTTCTCATGTCCCCTCCTGGCTCTTCTTAGCTCTCTCTTTAGGTCCTTCCTGGCTAACTTGTAACTCTCAAGCGCCCTCACTGAGCCTTCACGCCTCATCTCTACATAAGCCTCCTTCTTCCTCTTGACAAGAGATTCAACTTCTTTAGTAAACCACGGTTCCCTCACTCGACCACTTCCTCCCTGCCTGACAGGTACATACTTCTCAAGGACACGCAGTAGCTGTTCCTTGAACAAGCTCTACATTTCAATTGTGCCCAGCCCCTGCAGTTTCCTTCTCCATCCTATGCATCCTAAATCTTGCCTCATCGCCTCATAATTGCCTTTCCTCCAGCTATAACTCTTGCCCTGCTTTATATACCGATCCCTTTCCATCGCTGAAGTAAACATAACCGAATTGTGGTCACTATCACCAAAGTGCTCTCCTACCTCCAAATCTAACGCCTGGCCTAGTTCATTACCCAGTACCAAATCCAATGTGGCCTCACCTCTTGTTGGCCTATCTACATAGGAAACCCTCCTGCACACATTGGACAAAAACTGACCCATCTGAAGTACTCGAACTATAGCGTTTCCAGTCAATATTTGGAAAGTTAAAGTCCCCCATAACAACTACCCTGTTACTTTCGCTCCTATCCAGAATCATCTTTGCAATCTTTTCCTCTACATCTCTGGAACTTTTCGGAGGCCTATAGAAAACTCCCAACAGGGTGACCTCTCCTTTCCTGGTTCTAACCTCAGCCCATACTACCTCAGTAGACGAGTTGTCATCAAACGTCCTTTCTGCCACCGTAATACTGTCCTTGACTAACAATGCCACACCTCCCCCTCTTTTACCACCTTCCCTGATCTTACTGAAACATCTAAACCCCGGAACCTGCAACAACCATTCCTGTCCCTGCTCTATCCATGTCTCCGAAATGGCCACAACATCGAAGTCCCAGGTAACAACCCATGCTGCAAGTTCACCCACCTTATTCCGGATGCTCCTGGCATTGAAGTAGACACACTTCAAACCACCTTCCTGCCTGCCGGTACACTCCTGCGACCTTGAAACCTTATTTATGACCTCACTACTCTCAACCTCCTGTACACTGGAGCTACAATTCAGGTTCCCACCCCCCTGTTGAATTAGTTTAAACCCTCCCGAAGAGCATTAGCAAATTTCCCCCCCAGGATATTGGTACCCCTCTGGTTCAGGTGTAGACCATCCCATTTGTAGAGGTCCCACCTACCCCAGAATGAGCCCCAATTATCCAGGTATCTGAATCCCTCCCTCCTGCACCATCCCTGTAGCCACGTGTTCAACTGCTCTCTCTCCCTATTCCTCGCCTCGCTAGCACGTGGCACAGGTAACAAACCAGAGATAACAACTCTGTTTGTTCTAGCTCTAAGCTTCCACCCTAGCTCCTTGAATTTCTGCCTTACGTCCCCATCCCTTTTCCTACCTATGTCGTTGGTGCCTATGTGGACCACGACTTGGGGCTGCTCCCCCTCCCCCTTAAGCATCCCGAAAACACGATCCTCCTGTTTTCAATTCTGGCACACAAAAAAGCAGTGTGATTACAAAAGAGGAAGTCACATTTGTATTCACTTCAACTCTTTTACCAGATTTATCACCAACTTGAGCCTTCCATTCTCGTTGTTCTGCCCGTTTCCTGCTTCAGCTCCCAGATTTGGAGCATTTCATTTTATCTTCAAATTGAGGAGCGAATTATTCAGCTCCAGTGAGGTACGTGTTATCTTTCCATTTTCCTCCAAAATCATTCAAAGGTCTTCGTACATCATGAAAAAAAATCAGTGACTGTAGTGTGTGCAATTACAATGGACTGCCAATAAAATGTCCTAATCTAGTTGATTGCAACAATTTAAGTAACTTTGATACAGTGTTTAAAGAGCTGTGGTGCTTCAAGAAGTTTGAGTGCTTTGTGATGTTGCAATGGGGAGCTGATATTTGCTTTCTTTGCCCAGATCCAGAATTACTAACATCCATATGTCTTATTCCCAGGGTAAGACATATGGATGTTAGTAATTCTGGATCTGTGTGTCACTGTGGAGGATTTTGCTTGCCTGGGAAATAACAATAGGTGAAGGAAGGAAAAATGGAAAAAAATACTGTCAAGATGACCACAGGTCTCCTCTGTAATGACCTGGAGCTGCAGTGGGAAATTTTATCCCTCCCCTAGTATTTCCCGATCAATTCACTCTTTCATTACAGAAGTTAACTATTGGGGGCCATGTTCCTCGATGCACTTCCTCAAGTGCAAATTCAGAAACATAGCCCCTGATTGACTTCAGGGAGTATTCTGCAAAGTAAATCTTCAACATCATCTTTAATATTGTTGTGGTTATTAAGAAAATGCCTCTCATTATTGCATCCACTCTTTCTTCCCAAAGGGAGAAAATGTGAAGTGCTTTTATATGGCTGCAATTGCAGGACAGAAAGTGTTAACAATCTTTCACAGCATTACTGCTGCACAGTCCTTTCCCTCAGGAAATATAGAAGAGAAGGAGAGAATTACGCATACTCAAATTTAGTCATTCATCTTTGTTAGTTTATGTAAAGCAAATGTACATCTGGCACGTAGTCTGCAGGTCATAAAACAGCAAGAGATTGACACCCACAGAACTAATCAGCTGGA